GAGTCTCCGGGCTTTTCGTAGCCGGAGGCCTCATTTCATCCCAAACTCTGCATCGTTGACAATTATCCCGCAGTACTCTGGCGAGTTTAACGATGACATGCGTCCTTTGACGCTGGCGATTGCAAACACGCCCCCTTTGACACTGGTACATATTTCCTGACCGACACACGCTCATCCTTCGAATATTATCTGCGCATCGCTCCGAAACCCCACAGCACTGCGATCGCCAATCAACGGCGCCATAGCTGTAGAAGTCCGCGTTGCCGTGGCGTTGAGGATCCTGGCTGGCGCTAGTTTCTGGGATGTTGCCCTCATGTTTGGCTTGTCGGTGCCGACCACGTACCAGATCTTGTGGTCGGTGATCNGCCTTCGTCGGTAACGCAGGAAAAAAATGTCGCGCCCGGCGGATACAAGTTTGGATTGTCATCGTGGTTAGCATGCCTATAATCGAAAACAACCCCCGGGTAACGGGTGGTTCGCCAGCTGTTGTTCTTTGTACAAATGGCCTTTTTACAAATAAATGTTTTTTTTGTGTCATCATTAGTGTATGCTGGCCGTGTTGGTTCCGCCCCGCAACAGTGGCCCGGCAAAGCCAACCAAACGTACAGCCGAGCGCAATTTACCGAAGTTCGTCAACGTCCATCTCTCGACTAATTTTTTTCCCCTTCCTGGCACTGCTACTTTCCCGCCCTCGTGTCTGCCGTCTACAAATGCAGGAGTAGAGCACCGATGGCATTTTCTCCTGGNCACGTCCATCTCTCGACTAATTTTTATCCCCTTTCCGGCACTGCTACTTTCCCGCCCTCGTGTCTGCCGTCTACAAATGCAGGACAAGAGCACCGATGGCATTTTCTCCTGGGTCGTCGCCGCCGTGGATGGTCTGTTCATCAAGACCAAGGCTCCGTGTGCGAAGGACACCGCCAACGTCATCGCGTACTACTCCGGCAGCAAGTCCGCGTACGGCATCAACGTACAAGCGATGTGCACCGCCGACTACCGGTTCTGCGCAATGTCGGCGATCTCTCCAGGCTCCACAAACGACTGGGTGGCATGGAATCGATCTTCCCTCGCCAAGGCCGTTGCCCGCGTGCCCGCCGGATTTCACATCATTGGTGACGCCGCCTACCCCATCGGAGAAAAGCTTCTGACGCCGTACCCTGGGAGGCTCCTGCCGCCGGGTGAGGACTCGTTCAACTTCCACCTGAGCCAGCTTCGTGTCAAGATCGAGCAGAGCTTCGGCATCCTGGTTTCGACTTGGGGCATTCTGTGGCGACCTCTCCGTGTGCAGTTCGGAGGACGCGCGGATCTCATCACGGCTCTTTTTCATCTGCACAACTTCCTGCAAGACGAGAAGGTAGCGCCGATCCAGCTTGCAGAGGAGGACTCCCGCAGCGGGCGCAACCGGCTGGCCCTCTGTGCTACGCAGCGCACCTTGCCGGCTGGCTGGCAAACGGAGCAACCGGCTCCTTCGAGGAGCGGTGAGACCCCGGCCCGAGCGGCTATCCGCACGGCCCTGGAGTTGAAGAAGCAGTGGAGGCCGGACTACAACCGTCGGAGGAATTCGTAAGCACGTATCCAGCTCGCATCGCGTCGCGTGCGCACAAGCGGGAAGTGGGGACGGGTCTACATAGGGGCGGATGGAGGCGGATGGGGGGGAAGGTCGCTACTACAAGCGGGCGAGAGGCGCGGCGGGGGGGAAGGGGGGGGGGGGGGGGCGCACAGGGATGCGATTCTGGCCGTGGTGGGTACACGAAAAGGGCGGGGGGGGGTTAGGGGCTACATGAGCGGATGGCGGCAGAAGTAGGCTAGCTTCCACGGTATGACGAGACGCGTGAAAGGGAGGATAGCGGCGCGGGAGGGAGAGGCGCAGGAGGGAGATACCTCAATGTAGAGGGCGGAGGGCGCTGGAAGGACGTGTTTTGGGTGTTGGTGGTAGGGTGTCGGCGCATCCCGGGGAGAGGTGGGGGGTGTGATGTGTGACATGTTGATTCTCGCTGACATGTTTTGTGGGTGTCGGTGTGGAGCGTTCTGACCAGATGTGTCCGGGTACACTTGGTTCGTAATGTGTGTGTTCATGCCGGCAACACTTTATGGTTAACATGCATCGTGTGCGGATGAAAGCGGGGTCCGGTAGGTCTCGGAGGGTGCTTGTTTTACCTAGGGCATTAAAAGTGTGGGCATGTTCGACTTTTTTTTTTCCTGATTAGGAGAGTGTGAATCGAGAACGTTGTTGTCGTTGATACAACTTTTAATGATGTCTCTGCATCCCTGCATTAAATATTCGTCGCGTGGGTGAAACATTGCTCCAGGTTGCAGACCTGAAGGAGACCCACACACACGCTAAAAAGTGGGGTCTTGTCGAATCCCATCGCGAACACATTCCTGCGCTTCAAGTGAGCATGCGCGGAGACGGGAAAAATTGCAAGGCTCCAAATTTGCGGAACCCAAGCGTGCCTCAGAGTTCCCGCCAACACCCAACGTAGTATTGGGTTGCAAGAACAAGTCTTGCAAATAGGAAAACACCAAACGATATGCATGTGCGCAGATTGCCGGCACGGCAGGTGGCTCAATATCGACGAGTGCCATTTTCATGGCAGCGGACGTAGCCTCTGCCACGCTTTGCCCCACCCCCTTTTTTTTTTGCTTTTCCCCCCGCCTGTTCTGCTCGTTGAGCCTGGCGCCCTCCCGCTTGGTGGCCGCACGGCGCTCGGCACCGCCGTTACAGACAGTGCCCTCTCCGGTCCCGTCATCCTCTCGCTGAGCGCCCTCGGGGAGGAGATTGTTGCACACTTTATTCAGCTCGGGGTTTTTCTCGATTGCGCAACCGAGAACATACGTGTCCGTGCACCCTGTAAATAAAAGAAGGTGCAAGGCGCGGGCGGGAGTTTTTTTTTTACCAATTGGTATGGTCTTTGGTCGTGCTTCAAAATACACGATAAATGTACATGGTGCAGACACTCCGTTCCAATCAGGCCTCAATGCCAATGTCATCCCTGGAGCACGTCTTACAACACTGTCGAGAACTCCAAGTCTAACATCAAAACTCCTTCCGTAGCAGCACTTGCACGCTGTGAAGGAGGATGGGCGGAATGCCACGACCACAAAATCGCCCAAGGTTCGTCGAGCAAACAGACGCTATTTTATACCCAGCCCCACTCCACCCATCCCTTACCTTGACAAAATGAAAGCCGTGGCTGGTTGTTGCCGGATTCACTCTTCCAGTTGGCAAAGGCTGGTTCCACTTCGCTTTTGCCGTAGCCCACATCCTGGAAAGCTTCTCCGCCAAGATGGTTGGTTGCTGGATGGTGTTAGGGTCGACGTGAGACACTTGCTCGTCGTCCACGATTTTTCTCACCTGAAAAACGTCCACATCACCCATAAATGGGGCATGCATATAGCGAGGGAGCGAGGGAGCGGGCAGCGCAGATCATACACACACATGTTCTTTAAAAATACTTACATAGAGTACCGCCCCCCGGGCGTGGGAGGAATTCAACACGATTTTGATACGAAGAAAAAAAACATACCGAACGGGGAATGCATCTCTCGCGGGAAGGTTAGTACTATCGGCCTGATCCCAGCCTGGATTTTAGCGTTGCTTCTGCAGTGGTACTCTTTCCTGTCGTGTAATAATATTGTTTGGCTATGCACTCCTGTGGAATTCTTCTGCGCGTTTTCTACGTCTTCCACCAATAGGTGAGGGTTTCGAAGCAACTACAGCAGTATGATCTTCGTCGGCGTCAGCAACAACACCATAAGTTACCGATGTACGTCAACAGCAGGTTGACCCGCTCTTGGGGGTGGATACCTCATGGCTTTTTACCTAAAACAAAAGCGATCGCCCGTGGACGTTATGAGGTGTTGAGTACGATGGCTAACATGACCATAAAAATACGGCATGCGTGTCAACATACACTTCGACTGCTGTCTTTGTGCAAACTTCTCGGCCGATCCGTCCTAATCAATCCCCCTACCCGTGACCGTGTACCTGGTGGTCAGGGTCTCGGAAGCGCGCGGTGACCTCTGTCCACAAATCGTTCCGCGGCCCGACGGATGAGGTGTCCAGGTCCTGCCGGGTCGCCTGCAAGCGGCTCTCTATGAGANGCAAACTTCTCGGCCGATCCGTCCTAATCAATCCCCCTACCCGTGACCGTGTACCTGGTGGTCAGGGTCTCGGAAGCGCGCGGTGACCTCTGTCCACAAATCGTTCCGCG